AAAGCAAGTTCAAGTGTGGTTTGTGTGGGTTTTTTTTTTTTGTTTTTTTTTTATATATATATGTGGGGTGCATCTTAAAATTTGGTGCATGTTGAATCCAGTCCTTATCTCTGCATACACCGAGAACTCTTAACAGGTCATAGGAAGCACTAACTAAATACCAAGACTTAAGGTCAATACAGAAATTTCATAGTTTACTTCTGCAGATGGATCTTGTGTTCAGAAGTGCAGGAGGAAGTAACTATAATGTGTTGCTGTAATATTCACCTGTTTTCTGGTTGAGTAAAGAATTAAAGAAACATAATTAATACTCTTCCATAAAAGTACTGTAATTTTTTTGATAAGGCACCATTGCAAGACTTCTTTGGTAAAGACCATGTTCTGTGTTTCTTCCATGACCCATGCAATTCTGTAAAATCAGTACATGAAGCCATTGAAGTTTGGTTAATAATAAAAATTACTGATTTTAATGGGAAGCTTTACTCAGTAAAGAGCAGGAGAGCACAACTCTGAATGAACTAGCTGAATGCCAGACTCTTTTACAAGTCACATTTGTGCTCTGTGCTACTTAAATGGTACCATTACTGCTGCTTCTGTTTTTCTTCCTTGCCTTTTGCCATGTAATCCCTTGCTTTTCTGGATAACTTGCAAAAATTCCTTCCTTGCTTGTAACCTGTTTAATTCCTTCTGTTGAATACGTGGACAACTGAATATTCACTCCAAAGGATAACAAGGTGCCCAGATTTGACGCTCCAAATGCCAGAAGTTGTAATGAGATGGTTTCCAACTTTCAGATACTATATTGGACTTGTGGACAGACAAGGTGATAGCTGTGAAATATGCAATGGGACTCTTGCATGGATTTGGTTACAAGAAGGAGTGGGGCATAAGCAGAGTTGAAGCTGTGAAAATTGTAATTGTTGGAGGTTCAGTAAACTCTTGTCTTGGTTGGGTTTGGCTTTCAAGTCTTGCACCTTAAACTGCTCTCATACAATCTTAGCTTCAGGATTAGAGGGACAAGGAATTAGGCTGCCCCTTGGAAGAGTGTGTGGGTTTGTTGATGGCTTGAGAAAATAACTTAAGATTGGGAAATATAGTACAGCATATTGCTAGAAGATACTTAATTTTGAAACTTACTGAATGTGAGGTGGGTATCAGGCATTTTTATGTATTTCTTTAATTCCTAGAACCTAGGTTGACAATATGGAGTCAGCAGTGAAACCGTCACTGCTCTGAAGTTGCTTGAACTTCTACATGCCTTCTAATTTAATGCTCTTGAATTTTTTGGCTTTACTTAATTCTTTTGTATCAATATCTGATTCAACATTAGTATGATTATAAGAACCTCAGGTAGATTTATTCTGTTAGTATTTGAGTAGAAGCATCATGCCTAAAAGAGCTGCTAATTCCGAGGAGATAATTTGTGGGAGTTGCACTCTATGCCTGGAATACTCTTAGGTAAATCGAGCACTTAGTAGTTGCTGTGCATGAAACAGCAAGACACCAAGCTTGTGATGGTTTGTTTGGGTTTTTTTTTGGTGGGTTTTTTTGTAATTTGTAGATGTTAAATTTTGGGGCTTGGCTGTTAGTCTGCACTATTACCAGTTTGTATTTTAAGTCCAGTCTCAGTTTTGGGTAGCTGTGTTGTGATATCCCAGTTGTAAGTAGATGATTTATTATTTTTTTTCCAGTGACTGCAATGAAAAACCTAAAAGGTGACTTAATTACTCTGAGTCAAACACAAATGCCAAATTCCCTGATACTGTCTATAACATCTCCTTTACAAGTCTCCTTCTGTAGTGCACAGATGAGGTATTCCTGTTAATAAATGTATTGGAAGATAATTGGTAACATGTTTTCCTTGATTTCCATGCTTCTCTCAGGCTAAGACACAGCTTCTCTGTATTGAGTAATTTGTTTGAGGGTGTTACAGTGGTGGTTTTGTTGTTGTTTGGTTTGCCTTCCCCCCCTTGTTTCTTAATGTGGTAGATGAAGGTGTTTCTCTTGCTGCTTTTTTCCACTCAGACTTGGTTCTTGTCTTGTTTTAAGCCATGTTTCGTGTGTTGCCTACAGAGACTATGGGCACATCTTTCATCTGTGCTCTGGTAAACTCCTTTTAGGCTTTAATTGCTCCAGTAAGCCACATATGAAATGTACAGATTACAGTAGGTGAGATCTTGCATGTTTCTGTGACCAACATCTGATTCAGAAATTGAAATATTGAAGTGACTTACAGCTTCCTGAGCATCATCTGATATTGATTTTAATACATACTTAAAGCACTGTGGATGTACCTGTGGTATGTTCTATTAATGCAAAAGTTTTTAGATCCTTGATAACAAATACCATCCTTTTTAGTTTGCCAACTTGTCTGGTGTTTGAAGAGCATGGTGCTGACCCATGACAGTCATAGCTTTAGTAACTTGTTAAACAGCAGTCACTGTCACCAAACCCAAACTTCTCTTCACCAAGCTGGCAGTTCTTCATTGTTAAAGCTGTATGAAAATGGCAAAGCATGGAAAATGAGCTCAAAGGAGGATGAGGAGGAGGAAGAATTCTCTCCAACAGGTAATTTCCATAAGTCCTTGTTATGGAGAAGAATGCGAAAAGATAGAGAAGCGTTTTTGTCTGTGGAAGAGGAATAAAGGTCTTTTGAGTAGATTCTTGTTAAATCCTGACTGCCACCATCTGCCATCTTTTTTTCTTACCACTCCCATTCCTTTCTAGTTGTAGTAGTGGATGATGCAAAATACTATTTTGTCTAACTTGAGAACTGAAGTTGATTATCTTGATGATCCCTAGTTCTTCCCCCCCAGCTGACATGGTTTGGTTAACTGTTTCACTTGCACACTGTAATTTCTTTCTTGTGATAACAAAGATAATAGTGTGGAAGGTTCAGGAGCAAATGTAGGAAGCACAACATATAAAGTCTTGACAACACCCCGTGAGGTGTGCATGCACAAAAACACGAATGCAGAAACATTAGTAATCATAGAATCATAGAATGATTCGGTTTGGAAGGGACCGTAAAGCTCATCCAGTTCCAATCCCTCTGCCATAAGCAGGGGGGTAGCTTCCACTAGACCAGGGTGCTCCAAGCCCCATCCAGCCTGGCCTTGAACATTGACAGGGATGGGGCAGCCACAGCTTCTCTGGGCAACCCGTGCCAGTGCCTCACCACCCTCATAGTGAAGACTTCCTTTCTAACATTTAATCTAAATTTACCCTCTATTATCTTAAAGCCATTTTGTTTCTTTGTGAAGCTTTGGTGCATAGGTCTAACAGCCATCGGTGTAACAGCCAACTGCACTGCCACGGCAGTTTGCATGTTTAAGACCATTTACAACAAGGATGAGCTTATTATGCTTTTTTGTATGTTGCTTCAGAAATAGTATAACTCTGACAACTACTCATGCACATGTACTAAACAGATCTTAGGAGACCATTCTTGCCACTTGTCCCAGTAATTCATTGTCTTGCTATAAAAACAAAAGGTTTGAAACAGTGTAACTTGTTCATTTTATTTGTAGTCCCTCACACACCCCCTTTTGAGGGCTGCATTAGAGATGAATCCTAAGATGACATTGTGGCTTGCTGGCCTTTCAGCGCAGTTTCTGCTTTTATAGAAGCAGAAAACGAACTGAAGGCTGATACTGTAATTTAAATCTCAGCTATTTACAAAAAGCTGTAGATCATGCAGAAAGATAGCATGCAAACAAACTGATTTAGGAGGTGTATTCTACTAATGTGTGCTGAAGAACTGTTTTGCATTCTGATGTCTTATTGTGTACAAGTGTTTTTTAAAACAATTTCAACTAAGAATTTGGATTCTGTTCCTAATTTTGCTAATTGTGGATTTCCTTTTTTATTTTCTATCCACAGCTCTTCATGTCTTTCACTAAGAGGAAACTTGTCAAGATAATTGCACTTAACTATCCTACCTTGGAGGAGCATGTGCAAAACTGATTTTTAAGAGATTAGTATTTGAAGTAACTACCAAAGAAAGCTAAATCAAGAAACACATTTTTATGGGTAATTTACAGAAGAAATACAAACTTAACTCCAGTAAGAGTTTATTCTTACTGGCTTATCCAATCCTATCAGTAAAAAGGCACAGCTGCTGAAAGGAGAAAAAGAGGATAATGGGAGAATAAAATTGAAAAGAACAGTTTTTCTTAAAGGAGTAAACTACATGTTACACAAACTGAAATACTTCAGTGACATGTTTCAACTTCTCTCTAGTAAACTGGTACTTCTGCAGTATTCAGTGTTTGGTCAGCATTCTATTGGTAGACTCTGGACTGTTCCTTCATCTGTAATTGTTTCTGTGTATACATAATGATTTTGCTGCTGTTTAACCAGGAATAACTTGAAGGGATCTAGCAGCATTCAGGAAAATGTCAAGACTTATAAAATAATAAGGCTATTCAAAGTATTTGTAGTATTCCAGCCGCTTGTTCTAATTGTGTAACTCAAGAGAAGCTACTGCCACTCCAGCAATGTGATAGTATTGCTGTCTAGATGCAGCTGAGGAAAACATGGTTTATACCAGGCTTAGGTGCCAAATAAATCTGCTGTTGAGTGTTGATGCTGTAAAAGCTATGTTTCTTCAACAAACCGTGTGTCAGTCATTTTTAAATGTGCTAATATACTCTATATGAAAAGATAGTCTTCATGGTGAGGTGTTCTAAATATAGATCTGTCAGGAAATACTAATGTTATAATCATTTTTTAAGGTTGGCAATCTTGAGTTGTATTAGAACCTTGTTACTCTACAGTCATTTGTATAAGTTGAGTTCCCTGCATCAGAGGTGAAATGATGTGCTGTTGGAGATTTTACAGTGACTTTTGTCTGTATAAATTAATATAGTTTTAAAACTATAAATAAATACATCTGTGAAGTGTTACTTTGCTGAAGTACTACTTACTTGTTCTCAAACAGCAAGAAAATAACTTGACCTATTTAGCAGTTGGGCTTCAGGCTTATATTTTATTTGCATTTCACAGAGCATGTACATGTACTGGTTGTACTTGGGAACAAACAAGTGACATTTTTGTATTGCTGTTCAGAACATGATGAAAAATGCCTGCCCCCTTAGACCCAAATCATTAATCTTCATCTTTGAGGATCAGGTCTTTGGTATAGAGGAGCACCTTTGTGTTTGTCCAGGTCACAGCTGTGCAAACAGGAATCTTGGCATGAGTAGCTTCGACATTTATTTATACAAAAGGAAGAAAAAAAGAGGTTAAAGTCTTTAAAACATAGACTTTTGGATTCTCCTGTGAAGATGACCACTTGGCACATCATAGCAGGTAACTACTTTTTAAAATACCTTATTTGAATACTATGTAACAAATACTGAATAATTGTGTGGTTTTTTTATTTTCACTTACTAGATTTTTCTGTGTTTTTGTAGGTATCCAAGTTCCAGTCCTGGATAGGTAAGTATTCTTAACACTTTTTAGCACTAATGTACACAGAAAAATTAAGCTGAGGTTTATTCACTTTTCCTTTGTTCTCCATATATTTTTGATACTTCCTTTAGATAATTTGATTATGGCATGTAGATGCATAGTAAGACTCCTTATGAACATTACACTTACTTTGTGAACAGAAAAAAGTTATTTCTGTTTTAATTTTTCATGCTCAGTTTTCAGAAGCATTTTATGCTTCTAGGCAGATTGCTTCTAGCAGCTTTTACTAGAAATTAAATGTCAGCCGACACTTGAACAAGGATGCAAGTGCCCTGAGCAGTCTTCTAATGTAGTAACGATTGTATATTTTTGTGTGCATGTGCATAAGTGCACTGGTTTTAATTCAACTTTCTTCTTTAATTTGCAGCTTTCCAGTCTGGTGTTTTTCTTGCCTCTTCATGACCTCGTGTCTTGAGCAGCCTAGCTGGATCCCCTGGTTCCTGTTTCTTCTTGTTTCAAAATTCTGCTTTCACCTGTTTTATACCCCCTACCCTTTTATATTCATATACATACATCAGGCTTTTACTACCTGTTCTGGTCTTCACTGGTTTTTCTAAGACTTTGGGTTCCATCCAATATTTTCCACATGGCACTGTTGTCTTAGATTCCGTGCCATAGTGGAATGAGTTTCTCTTGTAAATATCTCAGTTATGCTTCGGAGATTTCAGGAACCTGATGGTCCTCCTCTGCATTTTTATTCTGCTACTTTGTCTTGCTGTAAGTAGACACTGGAGAAGTGAAGGCTGTATCTTCTCCTGCTCCTCTTACAAAGCACATGTATAAACTTTTTTAAAGAAGCAAGAGTGCTTATGGGGAATAAGTGAAGTGAATGTGTTCTGGAGGTAAAAAAAGCAAACAGTCCCCCCCATCAACACATCTCTCGGACATGTTTAGATTCATGAGATGTTCTGCTCCTTCCTGTCCTTATTAGGAAATGCAGACGCATGCTTCCAGGCTAAATGTAGTTCCTCCTTTTTTTTTTTTTTTTTTTTAATTCCCCCCTTCTGTCAAATAATTTCTGTATTTTTGTTCAATTTTGTATCATTTTTGAGAAGTCTTCCTGTGCAAGTGCTCACCTATGGAATCCCTTGCGCTCCACATTGCAAGAGAATCACTGCTGGATAGAATGTGTCTTAGACTCATCTTAAATATGTTTTGCTTTCTTGTATAAAACACTCCCTTAAAAATAATCTTTTGAAGATGTTTGGTTATAAATCTCTTCAGTTACCTGTTCACTTCTTTGCTGACTGATTATGAAAAAACATTAAGCATGTGTGTACCGTGTTCTTCTCCCGTTCAAAGTGAGGCATTTGCGGAAAAAGACCACCTTTTAATTTTAGTGTCGTTTGGTGTTTGTGTTGCAGTAGTTGCAGATTTCAGGATATGTGAATTCAAAGTGACTGTACCCTCAAAGTTTGAACTTTTCTTCCTATGACTGTGTTGTAGTGCAGCAAGGATTTAAAATCTTAGTTTAACTTCCCATTCAGCTACAAAACAGGAACATACTAACATAGTGTATTGCAAAAATATTTAAATGTAAAGCTGGTATGTCTGAATTTCTGCTCATGTAAACCGCTTTTTTGCATCATTCTTCCTTTGTGAATCCTTTTGGGGGGGAGTGGGCAGGTGGCTGAGAGGAGAAAATATGCTAGTTTTCTTATCCTTACTGAGTAACATTTGTCATCATGATTCATAAGGACGTGACTGTTTCTGCAAATCAAATAAAATGGTAAAGCACATTATGCGAAGTTTTGAAATTAAATATTATTCTGACATGAAAAGTAGCGCTTGCACAACATACAAGCTTGTGAGTTTGGGTTTTGGAGTGAAGCATATGGGATTGGAGTTCTTACTGTGTGGACTGCTGATACTTTCATGGGAAATTTCGTCAGAGGAGACCTCTCAATGGTTTTACATTTCTTTGTATGTTTTGGTAACATAGACCTATCCACATAAAACACTGTCCATGGTTGTTGGATTTAAAATACACATACACGTTTAAATAACCATGTAACTTGTATTGCTTGAGATCTTTACAGTACTGAAACTTAAAATAGTTCCTCTAAGCTAATTCAGGAATAACAGCAACTTTGTTCTTTTTTTGTGTTTCAGGGAAATGAGGCAAGCTACCCCTTGGAAATGTGCTCGCACTGTAAGTGTAATTGCTACTTCATATTCTTAGGTTAATCTTATTTGGAGATAGATATGTACAGCTTTCATGTATCAGTTTCCTGCTTGAAATGTTACTCAGTTTATATACTAACCAAAAGAGTAAAATTAAAAGGTGAAATACTATCTCTAGAAATAATACAGCTTTTGCTGTTGGTTTGTAAAATAAAAAAACAGGCCATCTTAAAAAAAAAGAAGAATATAATGATAGTTTTAGTGTCTGATCATGGAACAATGAAGTGTTACAACTAGTAGCAGAACTGGTGGGGCTTCTCCACCAGCCCCAGTTCCGCAGAGATGTGGAACAGCAGTTGGTGGCGTGGTATGTGCTGTGTTAGGAGTGAACTGTATTGCCTGAGCTGTCTTTGCACCCTCAGAGGAAAGAGATGGAGGCTAAAGGAGCATTTCTTTCCCTGTGTGTGCTTGCAGCCAGGCATTTAGGTGAGAAGTCTCTTGGTGTTACTTGCTTTTGGCCATGTGAGTCTAAACTTCATTGCTCTGTCTCGTGGGGTTATTCTGCCCTGTAAAAATAACAAGCGTATTGCTTGCTTAAAGCTGCCCAAAGAAAGGGCTGTCTTGTGAAATGTCCCTGTGGTGTTATGCTGAGTGTGCTTATTTTTTACTGCTTTTTTTCCTTGGATGTTTTTCTTTAGCACTAAATAGTGTAGACCTGTATATGTATGTATGAACTACCTGATAAGATCCCTCATTTTTGGTGAATCAGATCTTGTTTATAAACAGGATAATAAATTCTTCAAGATCAGGGCTGTTTGCTGAATTACTTTCACAACATTAATCATAATTGAACTCCAGCTCTCAGAAGTCAAATGGTAATAGAAAATAAATAATCATGGAGGAATCTTTTTCTAAATATGCTTTTCAGGGAAATGAGGCTTTAGTAATTTGCAAGTTTCCTCTGCCAATACACATGTCCACATGAATTATAATTTTGAGTCATCAGTTTGAAAACACTTGAGAATCTTACCCACAGCACTGCATTGCTGTGTTATGCTCTCAGTGTATATTTTGATAAATATGGATATGTGGGTGGAAGTTGTGTATTTGATGAAGATTTTGGTAGTCTTTTCCAGAACTTCTGAAGATTGTATTTTTTTACCTAGATACATCTCTGCCAGAGTTGTAAGCAGTGTGCTGCCATCCTTAACTTCTGGTTCTAGGAAAAGCTATTGTCATTAGTACGAACTGCCAACCTAAAGTTTTATTAACTGAGCTTATTTGCCCCCTGTTACTGCAGAGGAAGAGGAGATTTCATCATCACTTTCTGTTGTTAAACTGTATGTAGAGGATATTGTGTAAATCTGAGATTTCACACGATTAAAGCTTTTTCTGCTTCGGTGGCCCTTCTCACAGAAAGTGAGCTGCTGCTTTGAGCAACCCAACTGCATACACTAGGGAAGGTGTAGTTGTCACAGGCATTTCCTTAGCTTGATTGTGCCTTATCACTGCAATGTGTGACCAGCAAGTCAAAGAAGGTGCTCCTGCCCCTCTGCTCTGCTCTTGTGAGACCTCACTTGGAGTACTGTGTGCAGTTCTGGTGTCCTCAACATAAAAAGGACATGGAACTGTTGGAACAAGTCCAGAGGAGGGCCACAAGGATGATCAGGGGACTGGAGCACCTCCTATATGAAGATAGGCTGAGAAAGTTGGGGCTGTTCAGCCTGGAGAAGGCTGTGTGGAGACCTCATAGCAGCCTTCCAGTATCTGAAGGGGGCCTATAGGGATGCTGGGGAGGAACTCTTCATTAGGGACTGTAGTAATAGGACAAGGGGTAATGGGTTCAAACTTAAACAGGGGAAGCTTAGATTGGATATAAGGAAGAAACTCTTTCCTGTAAGTGTGGCAAGCCACAGGAATGGGCTGCCCAGGGAAGTTGTGAATGCCCCATCCCTGGCAGTGTTAAAGGCCAGGTTGGACAGAGCCTTGGGTGAGATGGTTTAGTGTGAGGTTTCCCTGCCTATGGCAAGGGGGTTGGAACTAGATATCTTAAGGTCCTTTCCAACCCTGACTATTCTATGATCACACTGCTTAAAAGATTTTGCATGCCTGAAAAGCTTGAAAGAGCTTGTTTGTTTTGGGACAAGATGTGTACAGTAGCATGTCTCTAAGTCCACTCAGTATGTATTCACCTTGTTCTTCAAATATTAAATGTTTGTGCTGTTTCCAAGTACTTGTTATTGACAAGAAAAATGCTTTCCAGGGCAAGACCAATAAATGTTTTTTAAGATCATTTGATAGAGTTTGAATGGTTAGCCTTTTGGGAAGCTGTCAGTAATGTCTTTATGCTGTCAGCATGGTGGCATCAGTTTATAAGCTCTGCTTGATGGTGCAGTTGCTATTTTGGTATCTTGTTTTATAAGAATAATTTTGTTTTAAATTTGGCAGTTCCAGGAAGCAAATTCAGGATACTATGCGGAAGATGCACACTATTAAATAGTTCAGAATATTCTTTTTGCCTTTCATTTTAGAACGTTAGTTCTCTTCAGTGGGTGAATTAGGGTTGTTGGAGTCCTTAAACAGTATGGACTTGCTTCTCGGCTGTGCTGCGTCTAAGAAGTCACTGAAAATCTAATGCTGTTTTACCAGGTGGTAATTTGGTGTCAACCAAGCAATATCAAATTATCCGCGAGACAATTCTATCATAGCAAAGAACTGTGAAGAAAACTGTTTCATATTAAACAGTATTTTACAGTACAGTATCTTTTAATAGAAAACAGTTTATAGTGTAGTATTTGTTGTATAAGGAGTATTTTATAGTATTTCTGGTTTTAGGATAAGGAGACTAGTATCTCTTCTCTAACTTACGAAATTGTAATTGACACATCTGAAGTCATGAAAAAGATTAGACCAGCTGCATGTAAGCATATACAAGACAAGTGGTCGGGTGTGTTCTCAAGGGCGTCATCTTTTTGAAATCTGATCTCCAAGACTGAAATGGCTGTCTTGGCTGAGCTCTGAAACATCATATTACTGAATCAGAGCAGACTCTAGATAGAGGTGAGAGCTTTTGCTGAAGGTCTCTTTTATTTTGAGATCTCTGCAATCCATTTGTATGGAGGGGAGGGAAATAGTCATTTTATTTTTTAACCTGGAAACATTTAAAACCTATTTCAGAGCATGTTTTATTTACAGAAATCTTCTAATACCTTAGCAATAATCTTGTTTATAATGACCTCATATTTGGAAAATATGTGGAAACTCGAATATCTGCGACCGCACTTTGGTCTGGTTTTTGTTATTTATAATTTTCAGCCAATAAGCCAGTATTTTAAGACTATCTGAAAACCAGCCTATTAAATACAGGTTTAAAAGCTTAGGTAACTACTTAGATTTCAGGAGTGCTCAGCACCTCTGCCGAGAAATATCCAGCTCTTTGAAGGTTTGTATGCTTCACAGATACCTGTTAAAGTGTTGTACGTTCTGCAGCAATGGATGTACAGTGCTTCTGAATATATAAGCAGTTTTCCTGTTAAATATCACTGCAGTGGATTTCAGGGAGGTCTGTATTTTTCAGATCTTCTTTGTTTTGGGTTACCATATAAATGGAAAGATAACCATGTACCTTAACATTGTCTGGAAAATATGATTACATTTTTGACATTACTTTTATCAGTGTGTAGAGCACTTGCTGCACTCCAGAAGTTTGTTTTTAATGAGTTGCCACTTGAATGCTTTTTACAATATCATCTGAGCATCAGTTATGTAAATAACAGCTTGAAACAAACAATTATTTTAAAACATAGCATGGCAGGGGAGTTGGAACTAGATGACTTCAGGTCCTTTCCCACCGCAACTATTCTGTGATTCTATAATGGATCATCCTCTGCTGTTGTGTTGTGGGAAAGGAGCAGAGGATTCACTTGGAGGTGTCAATATACTAGTATCCAACTGGAAGGAAGTTTTGTGTACTAAAATGGGAGCTAGACAGAGCATTTGTGTGTAATTTCTTGGAAGCATGGAGCCCTTGCATTTAAACCTGATGCATGCAAATGAATGACAAAGCAGGTATTGT